TGAATGTTTGTCTGTGATTTGTGCATATCGAGATCCTCGTGGGTTCCAACAATTATGTGGCGAGATATACACGGGCCTGCGTCGAGGTGCCCAGAGCGTCAGAAGAAATAAAGGCGGGGGGCTTGACCCGAGGGCTACTGCCAGGCTTTTGCAGGAACTCTTTGGCTAAGCGCCCAGGCTCAACGTTTGATGAGGTACTAGGGAGGTGTGCGAAATACATGAACGTCGAGGAAGCAGAGGCTGACTTCTCGCGGCATCTAAAACGATTAAAATAGACCCTCGAGACGAGAGAAACGAAAAGAGAGTTTCCTCGACTAGAGAGAGAAAGGGGTCCCCGCGAGCAGAAAGGGAAGGACGGCCTAGAGGTTGGAGGCCGACTCATTACACCTCTCTGGTGGCTCCACAAGCTAGGATCTTGGAAGTTATGGAGAGGGAGATTCGTGACCATGTGGTAAGATGGCCCAAGACAAGGAATGACGGGCCAACGAGGCCTAAGAGCAACCTATACTGTCGATTCCACAAGGACTACGGACACAACACCGACGATTGCAGGCACCTCAAAGACGAGATAGAGAGGTTAATAAATGCCGGCCATTTGAAAGAGTTCATATACAAAGATCGGGAAAGGACGAGTCGAAGGAAAGAAAAGAGTAAGAGTCCTCGTAAGAGGACAAGGTCACCAGAAAAGGACGAGCTCCCCTTGAAAAAAGGAATAATTCACATGATGTTTGGTGGACCGACTGACGGAGATTCAAACCGTGCAAGAAAAGCGTACTCCCGAGGAAAGCATGCCAAAGTTGAAGTACACCAAGTCGATGTGGGGGGTCCAGTGATGAATTTTGGACAAACAGATGTAGGAGAGGTCGAGAGGCCTCACAATGATGCTCTAATGATACCGCCCAGGTGTCGGGCTATGAGGTGCAAAGGGTTTTCGTCGATACTGGAAGCTCAGTAAATGTGATCTTTTATGATTGTCTCAAAAGGATGGACCTTGACATCGAGCTGGCACCCTTGCACACGTCTCTTTTTGGGTTCAATGGTTTGGAGGTCGCACCCTTGGGAGAAACCACGCTTGCCGTCGTCTTAGGAGAAGGAGACTTGAGAAAGGTGAAGATGATAAGGTTCGTGGTGGTCGATGTCGAATCGGCTTATAACGTGATCCTCGGGAGACCAGCACTAAACACTTTCCAAGCTGTGGTGTCAACTTACCATATGAAGTTGAAATTTCCAGTCGGAGATTGGGTGGGAGAAGCTCGAGGAGATCAAAAACTATCCAGAGCGTGTTACCAGATAGCGGTAAGGACGAACCAACGAACGGAGGTAAAAGAAGGAAAGAAGTTGGGATCGAATGAAAAAAGGCCGAGGGGAAGCGATCTCGAACCACACGGAGAGCTGATGGAAATTCAGATCGGAGAAAGAGAAGATCAAACCACCAAAGTCGAGAAAGAGTTGGAAGACGAGTTGAGGGGGCAGTTGGTGGAATTGCTGAGGGAATTTAGAGACATCTTTGCTTTCTCTCCAGAGGAATTAACAGGAATCAATCCGGAGGTCATGGAACATAAGCTCAATATCGACCCCCTCAAAAAGCCCGTCAAGCAACGACTCAGACACCATGGGGCTGAGATAGACATAGCAATCGAGGTCGAGGTGGATAAGTTGCTAAAAGCCAAGCACATCAAAGAGATCCAATTCCCCGAATGGATATCCAACACTGTAATGGTGAAAAAAAGCATTGAATAAATGGCGTATGTGTATCAACTTCCGCGACTTAAATTTAGCATGTCCCAAAGACCATTACCCTCTGCCGAGGATCGATCAGCTAGTCGATTCCACGACTGGTTGCGAGTTACTAAGCATGATGGATGCATCCCAGGGGTATCACCAAATCCCATTAGCCCCCGAAGATCAGAGCAAAGTTAGTTTTGTCACAAGTAAAAGGACGTATTGTTATGTCGTCATGCCCTTCGGGCTTAAAAATGCAGGGGCAACGTACCAGAGATTGATGGATCGAATGTTCAAGTCGCAGATCGGACGCAATATGGAGGTATATGTGGACGATATCTTGGCAAAAAGTAGGTCCTCGACTTCACATGTAGAAGATCTGAGAGAAGCTTTCAAAACACTAAGGGCTTATGGGATGAAGCTGAACCCGAGAAAATGCACTTTTGGAGTGAGGGCAGGACGATTCCTGGGCTATATCGTGACTGAGAGAGGCATCAAAGTAAATAAGGACAAGGTGCAAGCCATACTCGACATGGCCCCGCCAAAGAATATTAGAGAGGTGCAGGTCCTGACGGGTCGAATTGCAGGCCTTAGCCGGTTCATAGCTCGAGCTGCGGAAAGGAGTTTCCCATTCTTCAAGTTACTTAAGAAAAAAGCTTTCCAGTGGAATGACGAGGCTCAAATGGCGTTTGAAAAGTTGAAGGAGTTTTTGAGCGAGCTGTCATTGTTAACAAAGCCAGAGTCGGGCGACGAATTAGTTCTCTATATTTCGGTGGGAATATTTTCCCTAAGTTTTGTATTACTGCGAGAAGCTGGAGGGGCCCAGCAGCCGATCTACTATACAAGTCGAGTACTTCAAGGCGCAGAGGCGAGATATTCCGAAGTCGAGAAGGCCGCCTTAACATAAGTAATCACGGCCAGAAAATTGAGGCCATATTTCCTGAACCATGTGATAATAGTAAGGACAAATTTTCAGCTCGGAGAGACCTTGGGTCGACCTACTGTGTCGGGTCGACTCGTAAAGTGGGTGGTCGAGCTTAGTGAATATTCTATCAAGTATGAACCGCGACGAGCCATAAAAGCCCAAGCTCTAGCCGACTTTATCCAAGAAGGGACTAAGGGAGCGAGCAAGAAGTGGATAAGGCACGTTGACGGATCCTCGGCGGCCAGGGGATCCAGTCTGGGAGTCGTCCTAGTATCCCCCGAAGGCGAACAGCTCGACTTCACCATCAGAATGGGGTTTAAGTCCTCAAACAACAAAGCAGAGTACGAAGCTCTAATTAAGGGGATTTAATTGGCAGTCGGTGGTGGAGCAACGGAAATCATGGCACATTCCGACTCACAGCTCGTTGTGGGGCAAGTATTGGGAAATTGCGAAATCAAAGAGGGTCGGATGATAAAATATGTCGAGGAAATTCAGAATCTAGTGC